CTCCTCCTCCTCCTCCTCCTCCTCCTCCTCCTCCTCCTCCTCCTCCTGCTCCCCCTTCCCCTCCCCCTCCCCCTCCCCCTCCTCCTTCTCCTCCGTGGCTTCTTCAAGGCTGGCCCCGAAGCCGCAGAGGGCTGCTCAGAAGGCCTGCCCTCCCCACGGAGGGGGGGGGGGGCCTGCGGACTGGGCAGCGCGGTGGGCGCCTGCTGCTGGGTGCGCGTGGGCTGCCCTGGGCTGCTCAAAGGTCGGCCTGCGAAGGGGGGGGGTCTCGTGTCGGCCTGCTCCTGTGCTCTCCCTCCTCCCCCCTCTTGTGCCCTCCCGTCTTCTCCTGTCTGCGTCCCTCCTCCATGGGTACTCCTCCCCCCTCCCCATTCTCCCTCACCTCCGCCCTCCTTCCTTCCCCTGCCCTGCTTTTTCCGCCGCTTGCTCCTCCCCCCTTTGTTTTGTCCCGATCCCTCCTTCGTTCTCCCTCCGGCTCCTCCTCTCCTCTTTGTCTTCTCCTCCTCCTTTTTTCCATTAATCTCCCTCTTCTCTTCTCCGTTTTCGCCATTCCGCCTCCCTCTTCTGCTTCCAGGCAGGCTTGACGGGGGGAGGACGGGGGGGAAGGATAACGATCGAGGCTCAGGATGATGATGATGATGATGATGATGATGATGATGATGATGATGATGATGATGATGCTGATGCTGATGCTGATGCTGATGCTGATGCTGATGCTGATGTTGATGCTGATGTTGATGCTGATGCTGATGCTGATGATGCTGATGATGCTGATGCTGATGCTGATGCTGATGATGATGATGATGATGATGATTTTGATGATGATGATTTTGCTGATAATGCTGATGATGCTGATGCTGATGCTGATGCTGATGCTGCTGATGATGATGCTGATGCTGTTGCTGATGCTGGTGCTGGTGTTGCTGCTGCTGATGATGATGATGATGATGTTTATGATCATGATGATGATGATGATGATGATGACGATGATGATGATGATGATGATGATGCCGATGATGATGATGATGACGACACTGATGATGATTATGATGATGATGTTGATGATGATGATGATGCTGACGATGATGATGATGCTGCAGATGGTGAGGATGAGGATGAGGATGAGGATGATGATGCTGATGCTGCTGATGATGATGTTTATGATGATGATGATGATGATGATGCTGATGATGATGATGATGGTGATGATGCTGATGATGATCGATGATGATGATGATGATGACGATGATGATGATGACGACAATGATGATGATTATGATGATGATGGTGATGATGATGATGATGATGATGCTGACGATGATGATGAGCTGCTGCACTGATGGTGAGAAGAGGAGGAGGATGAGGATGATGATGAGGATGAGGATGAGGATGATGATGAGGATGATGATGATGATGAGATGTGATGATGGGATGATGGCTGAGTAAGGGACGAAGGCCCTGAGACGTGAGATCTGATGATTGATGATGCTGCTGCTGATGATGATGATTGATGCAGATGATGATGTCATGATGATGATGATGATGATGATGATGACGATGATGCTGATGAGGATGTGATGACTGATGATGATGATGATGATGATGATGATGATGCCCTGGGATGATGATGATGATGATGATGATGAAGATGATGATGATGATGATGATGAGATGATGATGATGAGGATGAGATGATGATGATGTGATATGAGATGATGAGATTATGAGGATGATTGAGGATGATGAGGAGGATGAGGCATGAGGATGATAATGATGATGAATGATGAGGAGGAGGAGGAGGCGGAGGAGGAGGAAGCAGGAGGAGCGAGAGGAGGAGAGGAGAGGAGGAGGAGGAGAGGGGGGACGAAGGAGAAAGAGGATGACGAAGACGAGCAGGGGGAGGAGGAGGAGGAGGAGGAGGAGGAGGAGGAGGAGGAGGAGGAGGAGGACGAGGACGAGGACGAGGAGGACGAGGACGAGGACGAGCAGGGGGACGAGCAGGGAGGACGAGGACGAGGACGAGGACGAGGACGAGGAGGAGGACGAGGACGAGCAGGGGGAGGAGGAGGAGGAGGATCACGAGGACGAGCACGGGGAGGAGGAGTAGGATGATGAGGAGGAGGAGGAGCAAACGGGGAGGATCCGTTGCCATTTTGGCTCAAGGCCACATGCGGGATCCATTTTCCGCACTCGCCCGCGCGCGCGCGCTGCGCGCCCGGCGGGCCAGCCTCAGGCCCCCCAACCGTGGCCGCGGTCAAAGGGCGCCGCCATGGCACGAAGGTGATCCACCACCAGCTTTTGAGTTGCAAGGCGGGCGCCCTCGACAGATCTAATGGGCTACGGCACCTACCCGCCTTGGCATTTTGACGAAGACGTGCCGGCAAGTATGCCGCGACCGTACACGCAGAAAGGAACAGGGGCCCGAACAGACGTGGCGCGAACGAGTTGGGTACGACGTCGGATATGGGATACAGCCTCGATCCGACGACACCATTATCATTGCTGCCACCTCCCTCGCGAACGTCCGGGTAGGAGCTGCGTAACAGGCATCCCAAAAACGAGAAGGAGTTGCGTAAGAGGCAGCCCACATTCGCGAATGAGCTGCGTAACAGGCAGCCCGAGGACGCACACCACCACCGCTAGAACGCCACCAATACCAGCACCAGGAACGACACGTCCGACTAGTCCGAAGGGGGTAGCCGTCGTGGACGTACCGGTGGACAGCGGCCGCGCCGTTCACCACGAGTGTGATTACGGCGCGTATGACGTGCGCGGCGGCTGCAACTGTTACGACGAATGCACCGCATACGGCTTCCCCACTCTGCCACCAGGGCTAAGAGGGCTACGAACAGAGCTGCGAATGCCACCAGCAGAGCTACTAGTCTATGTGTTACGAGGGCCACCAGCCGCGCTTAGAGAACCACCAGCTGCGCTCCGCTGGTTTCCAGCAGAGCTTCGAGTACCACCACCTCAGCGTCGAGGACAAGCAGCTTTGACGCCAGGGCCACCTACCGAGATACTAGCACCTGCGCGTGACCAGTAATTACGATCTCCTGCGTGGCGCTGACACCCATAACATGAAACACCACCACTTGGCAGCCGAGGGCTGCGACTTCGACATCGGGGATTCCGACTCTCAGAAGGGCGTGTGGGGAGACGTGCTCTTCGATTACTTCCTGGGCCAGTTATACGAGCACGAGTGGGGCCTGCAAGCTCCGCAGCGAGGACCAGCGGACCAGCAAAACGACGAGAAACACAATAATTCCGAGGATAACCAGCCGAGTTACGCGCAACGGAAACATCACCAATTACGGCGCCCATGTGCTTTAAAACCAAAAGCGTCGAGAGCCACGGGCTGACCTGCGAGACCCGTCAATTGAGAGACGCGAGCCGCAAGCAGGGCCACGAAGGGTACAATCATGATTACTACAGCCACCAGCAACACTGGCAACACCCGCAGACCTTCGAGGACCACAAGCTGGGGTACGAGGATCACAGGCGCAGCTGCGAGAGTCACCTCTGGAGCGACGAGGTCCGCAAACTCAGCTACGAGGGCCACAGGCAGGGCCGCGAGGACCACCAGCTGAGCCACGAGGGCCGCAGGATCAGCTACAAGGGCCACGAGCAGGGCAACGAGGACCACCATCTGGATCATGAGGACCACTGGCTGAGCTACGAGAGCTCCAAGCAATGCCACGGGGCCACCAGCTGAGCTACCGGAGGCACCAGCTGCGAAAGCCACCTGAGGAGCTACCAGAGCCACCTACTCAGCTACGAGGGCCACCAGCGGAGCTACCGGGCCCACAGGCGGCTGACCGACGAGAGCCTCCACCTCAGCTACGAGGGCTACCATCTGAACAACGAGGGCCACGAACTGGCATGCAAGGGCCACGCGCAGGGCTACGCGGACCACCGTCTGAGGTGCGAGAGCCGCCAGCTGAGCCGCGAGGGCCGCGGGCAGGTTTGCGCGGAACACAAGCCGGGCTACGAGAGCCTCTTGCGGAGCTACGAGCGCCGCCCGCTGAACTGCAAGAGTTCCGAGCAGAGCCGCGAGCTTCCAGCGCGACTGCGCGTGCCACCTGATGAGTTACGATGGCAGCTATTTCAGTTGCCAGCGTAGCAAGCGCAGCCCCGAGAGCCATCCAAGCTGGGCTACGAGTGCCACCGGCGGGCCTCCGAGGACCGCGAGCTGGCTCACGAGGGCCAGGCAGCGCTGCGAGAGCCGCAAAAAGGCTGCGGGGATCGCGTGCCGAGCTATGATGGACACAGGCAGGGTTGCGAGGGCCGCCAGCTGAGCCTCGGAGCCCATTCGAGGGCAGCTGGGGACGTCTCGCGGGGTGGCAAAGCCAAGCTCGCCATTGACGGCCAATAGAACGTCCTTGGGCGTTTTGACACAAATGCAGAGCGTCGGGCGTGCAGAAGTGGAACAACTCAGATTCGCTTCAGGATCGATAACCGGGGAAGCTACGGCGAAGGCTCCGAGCGAAAGGCTCGGCATGACGCGCCAATATCGGCCACGAGCTTCCGGGTGCTACAATGCGGTGCACCGCGAGATCACGCGTTCGAGCGGCCGTGCGACGTCGCCCCCGCGGGGGGCCAGCCCGGGGCTGCCTGCTCATTCCTCGACAAGTTTCATCGCGAAACATAGATCGATGCGACGCTCGCCCAGACGAGGTAGAGCATATCGCGAACGTGACCACAACTGCGAGACCGGTCTGCCTGACGCCGGCCACAGCACGATGCCAAATGCGACATCACTTTTTTCTTCTTAAGAATTATCCCAGTGCGACCCTACCTAGGAGTTGGAACCTCTAGGAAAGCAGCATTCGTAGTAACAGTAACGCTAAGCTAAAGCTAAAGCTAAAGCTAAAGCTAAAGCTAAAGCTAAAGCTAAGCTAAAGCTAAAGCTAAGCTAAAGCTAAGCTAAAGCGAAAGCTAAGCTAGAGCTAAGCTAAAGCTAAGCCGCAGCTAAGCTAAAGTTAAGCTACAGCTAAGCTACAGCTAAGCTCAAGCTAAGCTAAAGTTAAGCTAAAGCTAAGCTAAACGCTAAGGGAAAAGCTAAGCGAAACGCTAAGCTAAAGCTAATCTACAGCTAAGCTAAAGCTAAGCTAAAGCTAAGCTAAAGCTAAGCTAAAGCTAAAGCTAAAGCTCCCAGGGGACTGGGGGGAACCGCTCCCAGGGGACTGGGGGGGCCGCCCGGGGCGCTTTCCACTTCCCGGCCCTTTTAAGCTAGAGAGTAGGAAA